CCCCAAAACCCCAAAACCCCAAAACCCCTTGGATGGGAAATTGAGTTGAATGGGATTAGATTAATAGATATGCATTGGAGAGTCTCCTCGGATCAGCATTGGAGTGTTCCTTTTAAATGTAGCGTTTTTATTTCCATAAGCTTCGAGGCTAGTATGCTTCTTACTTCTCAGCATCCGTATTGCCTTGTTGCTGAAGCGTCTTTTGTTGATCGAGATAGGAGAGTTTTCTTCAGGGAATTCGAATAATGAATTTCTGACCCCAGAGAATGAGGAATTATATTCATGGATTTTACACATTACAGGAGTATTGGTAAACTCATTGGTTTTTCAAGAGAGGTTTGAGTTAGCCCTCTTTGCACCAATAACACGGGATTTGAAAGCCCTTAGCTTTTCCTTGTGAAGATCTCTCAAGCATTTAATGGGTGACTTTGAGGACACATGCTCAAGTGTCTTAATTGAAAAATTAGTATCTGCTGGTATAGATCTTCTGTCAACAGAATTGTTCAGTTTCTTATTTTTCACAAAAATCGGTTTTTGACTACTTCAATTATGAAATTGCTTACGATGACAGTAAAGTATTGGAAATCTTGATAGAGAAGGACTTATTTCTGGAGCTTGCTCTTCAAGTGCTTGATCTATGAAATTATCCTGAAGCAAGGCTTTAGATACCTTGTTTAAAGCCATGTGCTGTTTAAATTTCTTTTCTAAAATTTTCTCTCTCCCTTCTCTAAACTTTGTATCTAAAAGAATATATCAATAAATTTACTTAAAAGAGGGAGTTTCGTTGTTTTCTTTAACTTAATAGGGCTTCTTCTAAATATTAGTGTTGATGAAAATATAAACCAAAGTATCCGTTTTGGCATTAAGGAAGTTTCCCTTTCTTACCTTAATATCCCACAAATAGGTTTAATTGCCAGCTCTATATCTATAAAATGTCAAAAATCTCTAAAATCGCCTCTTACTTTCTCTACTCCTTCCTTCACCTCCTTCGAAGCTTTCATAGAGCCTTCATCAATCTCCAAATTGTTCTTCCATTTTCAATAAATTTACTAAAAAATGGGGTTTTGGGGTTTTGGGGTTTTGGGG